ATTCTGTTTAAAGTAACAGATCTAATTAAAAACATCTCCGGACATTTACTGGTTGATAATTTTCTTTATTCTGACCCTGCTGATTTTTAATTGGTTACCCTCGATAAAACTGGTTACGACACTTTAAATGAGTGTCCGAAAGTCTAGTGGATTAAAAAAAAATTGTTGTCCCTGAAATTTCCCACAATGCACCTTGAAAAGGAGTAATCATCCATGGTCACTAGTGCGAGCAGATATATTCTGGAATGCTTTGCAAGTAGAGCTAGAGCTCCAAAAGCATTATGGGATTTGCTGTCACAGCGGCCCAGCGGGGAGAGAAAAGTAATGATCATCTGTCTGAACGGTCAGTTAACTGAGTTTGCTATAAAGTTCACTATATAGTCCCCACTCTATATACTGACTGAGGGATTTAGGGGTTAGGGTGGATGTTCGGATGCAGCCATAGAGTTTTATTGCAGATTTAAAGCAACACTGTGTCACTTTTAGCCATTAGAGGGGGTTAGATCAGTGAATTCCAGGTTTGCGTCCCTAAAAGCCAATGGAAACACTCCACTATCACATCATAACTTCCATCTTTGTTTTCGAATCTGATAGTAAACCACTTTGGACCAAATGGTTTAATTTATATAGACAAGGCCACATTCAACCCTAAAGATTTAATCCTAAATCTGAGAACATAAAAATCTGTTTCACCAGGAAAGTGCTACATCCACTTAGCTGCATACGTAAATATATAAGTTAGCTAATATGGGTACAAAGTTACGCAGTGTTAGTCTAAATAGGGTGCCTCAAGAAAAAAAAAAGCGGGATTGATGATGTAGTAAGTTTATATTCCAGTCCTTTATTAATCCAATGATTTTTTTGTTGACAAACAATGACAATTATAATATTTGAAAAGGCAGACTAATTTCCATTCATCTTCTCCATCGGGGTCTTATCGAGGTGTATGTCAATTTCTTTGGCCTGTATGTTTAAGAGTCATGTCTTGGTGAACATTTTGTTTCAACAATAAACCATATGGTTGTACTTTCATAAGGTTTTAACATTTTTTACAACTCTTGGGTAAGGCGCTGTATGAACTCCATACAAGACAGAGTCAGGGAGTGGAAGGTTGTTCTGGATGCAAGAAAATCACCTTTAAATTATAGTTCCTTACCAATCTTTTACATATTTTGTGCCAAAGACAAATCACAGCTTCAAAGTAATAAGGGCAATATTTTAACCACAACATTGTTGTGTTTTCAAGCTCATTTAGACATTTTGTTCACAGGGTTACTTTTTTGTAGTAAGTAAATCCCAGGTACATGTTTTAAGAGGTTTGCTTTGGTTTTACAATAGCCTTTTATTAGCATGCATGAAAACAGCAACACAACAAAAAACAACCCAACAAAAAGACACCATATTTAAAATAAATAAATAAATACTCTAGACCGGATGAGAGACTCCAAACAACCAGCAATGTCAACCCCAGTGGGGCTTTAAGAAACTAACCCTGTGCTCTCCCAGCGCTCTCTATCGACTGGCCCACTGACCCAGAGAAACACTGAGCTCCGTTGTTCAGGCCTGGGAGCCGTGAGTTAGTGGCTGGCCACTCTAGGTTGGCTCAAAATATACACAAAAACCCCTGATAACTGCATGCAGAATGGTAACATTCTGCACACATATTACCTATGTTGTCTTAGCTACTTCATCAAGTCTGTCTTTCACAAAACAACTCCAACACACACACCGATACAGGCAAGTTTTTTCCTTCTTTCCCTCGCAGCTGTGTTCGGATATCAAACAGGGCCAGCTGAGAGAGAACAAACTCGCTGACGAGGACAGATTAGCTGGTCACAGAGGGCTCCAGCAAACACACACAGAAGCAGGAAGGCTTGCTGTAAATGTCTGCACAGGTTCTGAAGGTTCTGGCTGCAGCTTACTATAAGATCCCACATGGTTTAACCTCATTGGGGAAAAGTGGCAGTGAAATATTGACTTACGACACCATCTGAGCTAAAATAAGACGTTTGCTGAACAAAACCTACTTTAGTGGATATTGGCATTGAGGTTTGAATGACCTGAACTTTTGGGAGTGAAATGGATACTTAGACACGGATCAAATTGTGGAAATACAGAGAATTAATGCCTTTTTTTTGGCTGTGTGACGAAAAAGTAATATGTGGCGACTAAAAGAAGCATTAAAGAATACAGATGAGAATACACACTGAAAAAACGTTAAATTAAGTGTATTGACCCCTAATTTGAGTAGGTAAATGAGACAGTTTTTTTACTCTTAAAAGATATTTAGATAAAATGCACTTGAAATAAGACAAGACAATTGTTTTTTTCTTGTTTTAAATGTAAAATGTCTTGTTCCATTGGCAAAATGTCTCTTTTAGCTCCTCAATTCTAGAACAAATGCACTTATTTTAAGAAAATAATGACTTATCTAGATTTTGATTTTTTTTCAGTGCAATGAATGAAGCCACTCAGATTTCACACAGGCAGCTTCCTGCTGCTGTTCCTTAAAATTCAACATAAACTAAGGAGGCTGAAACATTCTTATCTTTATGAAGCTCTGATCAATAGAGTCAAGAGA